CATAAAAACATTAGAAATCGTATGTGTTTTGTACGATAAAGCTTATTATAAATGAACATAATAAATAATTCTTTCTAAGGGTATTGATGCGAAAGTGTTGATGTTTTCCTTTCACGTAACGATTGAGAAGTGGATTGATGTTATTTTACATAAAGTTGTCTTAAAAGCTTAGGGGTCGATAAGTCATCGCCTTTAATTCAATACTTCAAGTGGTTACCATGCTCTGTTTAGCAAATAACAAATTAGTAAGTAGTACATATTATATTGAGGCAGTGGTAGCCCAGAGGTAAATATCGATGCCGCAATCATGTAACAAAACATATAGATAATACTAGCGACTCACCCTCGATTATCCTAATACACAAATAATGACACATATACTCCCTACAACGTCACAAACTTACAATTCACAAACTCACAAACTTTACCTCTATAATATTAGTATAGATGACACAATAATACACAATTAACTGCCTCGGTGGTGTAGTGGCTAGCATGTACGGCTGCACACCCCGAGGTCCTGGGTTCGAGTCCCGGGTCGGGCCAAGTTTAGGCGCCTAAACTCTCACCGGTCGTGTCGAGTGGTCGTCCCACCGGAGTATGAGAGTGACAGGAATAGAAAGTGCACTTGTGTCTGCGCGTACACTTGTGCACTATAATATCTCCTGCGCAGTTGGCTAGTCTCAATGAGATTGGCCGCCGTGGCCGAAATCGGCTAGGAGAACATCACACAAATAATAAGTGAAAAATTGAATTCAACAGGTAAAGTCAAATATATCTTAGAATTAAGTCTGTATTCTCATTTATATTTCTTGAAAGAGCAAACATAAACAAGAACTCGTTCAAAGGGCGGGAATGTCTCAACTTAACCGCCGCAGCCCGGATTTCGTGCCAAATATTTATTTTAATTACATCTCGGTTCCTTTGGATTCTCAAGTTAAACGCCCCATCGGAGCCGCCACGGTTTGCAAATTGATTCAATATTTCTAAAGAATTACTGAAAAACCACGAAAATTTTCAACAACATTTTTATATATTTTATTAAACAGAAAATTGTAGAGCAGAAATGTATGCAGCTGACTGGAATTGTCCACGAGTAAATGAAAAATATTATTATCCCATTATTACCTCCGAAACTAATGGCCTATCTTTCGATTTTTGAGCTTACTACAACAAAATATTCGGTATAACTACTATTACGGAGCTTTTATAAAATTATATCTGTCGTTATTCGCTAGGTCAAATAATAAAATCGAATGATAGGACAACAATTTTGGCCGTATGTAGGTATAACCGACAATGCATCATGCTGGGCAACGCCATACAAAAATATCAGAAAATTGACGAGATTGAAGAATAAAGTTACAGCTGAAAATCTTTTTATCTATACATACCTATAATAAAATTCGAACTACACCGAATCTGTACATAAAATATTTTTTGGAAAATCTTATTGAAATAACCATTATTATCGATACAGAGACCGAATCTATAGTTTTTAGAGTTTTTGTCTGTCTGTCTATTACCGCATCACAAAAAAACCACCGGAGGGATTTTGATGAAATTTGGTATGATGATAGCTGATTATTCGGGTCAACATATAGGATACTTTTTACCGCGAGAAAATATCTAATTTCTGAGAAAAAATACAAAAACTGCGATGTAACAGTATACTAATATGTAAAACCTAAGAATTTGGTTTTTGGTCATCTGAACGCGGGCAGAGCCGCGGGCAATGCTAGTGTAAAATATATTTCTTTACTGTATGGTAATAAAAAAAACAATTGAATAGTAAATAGATTTCCTTGAGTAAGGTCGGATAGGTGTTGTTGCATAATCAATCCGAGATTCCGTTTCCAAAAACGCATAAATGGAATGCAGAGACTGTATGAGTGAGCCATTTTTATGTGGTCAACGTCCAAGGGTACACAATTTTAACTGCACAATTACACAGTCGCTTACAGCAAGGAGTTACACATACGTACAAATTTTCCCATTTATACTTAGTAGTGTTATCAAAGTTAAATTAAAAATGGCTGTTAACTAGGCAATAAAGGCAAGAATTCACTGGAACAAATATAACAAAAATGATTAAATTACCAAGCGACATTTTAACGATATTGTTTTTTTATGTTAGCTAATAATAAATATTCAAAATTATTTTTTGTCATTAGCGTGCCGGGAATATTTTTTAAATATTACTTATTTTGGTTAGAAAAAAGTAACAAATAGGTAACCTATATAAAATCTTATAACAAAACTTCATTTCTTTTTTGAACAAAAGAGACAGACCGTTTTTTACTTACTACTTTAACATGTACTGATTTAAATAAACCCAATGACATTTTTTGTTTATCGGATATAATTGACAGGCACCAGGAGTTGCTATTAAGTTTCCTTAATTTCAAATATTTCTTACTTAGCTCTTGATATTTAAAATATTTTCCTAATAATACTTCATATTTTGATAGTATAAAAGAAAATTTAAATAAATTTTCACACGCTGTCTTATACCAACATTACAAAACATTGTACATAAATGCATTAACTTTTAAATGATTTTTATACTGTTAATATTAATTTTGGTTATATCGAATTTAAAATCGAAACTCTCGAGATGTTCGCTCAAAATTTCTTTTAGATCTATATAAGTATATATTTTAATAAATAATGATAAGCGCGCGAATAAAGAAGTTTCGACGAAGTAGCAAACATTTGTGAAGCATTAAACGGCGCTCGCAACGGGGTATCCACTTTTCCAATAAACCAACCGACCGAGTGCATAACGTGCCGAGATTACTTATAGCCGCCGTACCCGGCAACCAAACAACAATATTTGTTGGCACGAGACACTAGATTAATTTTTCCTCGAGCGTTTAGTTAAGCCATTCACGATCACACAAACATAAGTATAAAGTCCGAGTTATGTATAATACGTACGAGTATAATATGTATGTAATAATTTCATCATATTTTGATAACAGTTGTTTTTCTATTATGAAATTATTTAAAAATGATATAAAAGTAGAGCTTTTTATTTAACTTTAAATGAATTTTACATAATGATACATAACTTTTCGACACATCGAATGGTGTGATTATAAAAAGTCTAGTTCATTTTGTACGTCTACGTGACGGCGGTAGTGGTCACGGACGTACAAAACGAACTAGAAAGAAGCTAGATAGACATATCTACCAATAAAAAGTTTAACATCCAACATATACCTACCCGTGACCATGGAGCTTGTAAACAGTACCTACCGAAATATGGGGAACTCAAAAGTAAGTGCCAAACATGGTAAATATCATATTTTACATCAAAATAATTATAGAAATATAATTATAGAAATTTTTAAATTGTGGTTCAAATGTTTATTAGACTCAGTTCTTGTATTTATCTATACTAATATTATAAAGAGGCAGAGTTTGTTTGTTTGTTCGTTTAAACGTGCTAATCTCAGGAACTACTAATCCGATTTGAAAAATTATTTTTGCATTAGATACCCCGTTCATTGAGGAAGGCTACCCAACGAAGCGGAGCAGTAATAAAATATATAGTCTATCTATACCATACTAACTGTTAAAACGTACCTAGGGACGAACTCGATATAACCCGCTAGTACCTAATATTTCAATTTCAATTTAAGAGTATTCTCTTAATAATATTGAAGTGGTATTATTTAAATATTAATGTTACGTGTCTATCAACTAACCTACACAACTTTATACTATTTTATAGTATGAAAGCATTTCGTCCATACTTGCATATATGATGATGATGTTCTCCTAGCCGACTCCGGCTACGGCGGCCAATCTCATTGAGACTAGCTAACTGCGCAGGAGATATTATAGTGCACAAGTGTACGCGCAGACACAAGTGCACTCTCTATTCCTGTCACTCTCATACTCCGGTGAGACGACTGCACGACACGACCGGTAGGAGTTAAGGCGCAGGACCGACGGCTTTACGTGCTCTCCGAGGCACGGGGGTGAAACACCACCAACTTCCCAACTCCGGGCTGTTACTGAGACTTACTATACAGAAAGACTCAATAACTAAACTTGGATCGACCCGGGACTCGAACCTAGGACCTCCGAGTGTGCAGCCGTACATGCTAGCCACTACACCACCGAGGCAGTTTATGCATATATACTATTCCTTGAAATACTAAACGGTAGGCATTAGTGCCCACTACAAGAGCCTAACCTTGCATTAATACTGCATGATTAATTAACTCTGAAGCCTGAGCGTAAATGTAAGACATTATCTGTCTGTCAATCAAGCCTTAGTTAAGCTTTATGCATAGACGTAAGAACTTGTTTTGTATATATTGTATATAAGACCGCTTAACTAATACATAGTTGATATTTACAAAATATTATATTAAAAATGTGGTATTCAAGTATCTACTTGTACCTATATAAGCATATTGTGAATAGGTAATATATATTTATATTAAAAATCTAATTGAATTTTGTTTTATTAATAGAATATAAGCTAAGTATTTATTATTATCATTCCAACTTCATATATATTTTATTAATGTACTGAGCATATATGTATACTCATATTTTTTTAAATGTACGTAATGTACTTTTTTGATTATTTCTTATTATTTCATATCAATCAACTTTTATTATCAATCAATATAAATAAATGCTAACCTTTTTAAAATTTGCGAAGTACAAAAATAAAACTTTACAAGATATTTATATGTTATATTACTTATGTATAATTAACTTTTTAAGTTTAAAATAATGTATTATGTACACGAATGTTTATCTTTCATCTAAAATATTTATGCACATCTACATACATACATTCTGTGATCTTGCACGATTGACAACCAGTTAGCTTGATTCATTGGTTTGCACACGTTATATTCAAAAGTGGTGGTAAAACAAAAGATTATCTGCCTACTAGTGTATAAGATACACACTTAATTTTAAAATTTTATTTGAGCTTTAAAAATTAGCATTTGCGCTTATAAAATAAATAAATGGCATTGCAGACAAAGAGCGGGCAGCGGGAGCAGATGCTATCAACTCAAACAATAGGGAGGATGAGATTGTATTTCTGGTTTAACACATATGGCAACTCGTTCGCGCCTCGTAAGCCATACAAAGCCAATTGCCACAATTCAGTCTTAACGAAAGGTAATTTAATAGCTGTCACCGTGTGTGGATAACACCGTTTCTGACTACAGCAAAGTTAACGTTGTACATATATACGTTTATGGTTCACATTCTAACATTATAAATGCAAAAAATTGTTTTTAGTTGACAACTCACAACTGAGCAGAATTATAGAAGAAATTGCTAAGGAGCTAAAGCTAGAGTGATCTCTTTCTCTTGTGATACTTTCGTTGAATATTAGTCTGTTGAGGCGGCTTAATGTTGTAAAAGTAACTTAGGGAAGCTAATAACACGATATCCTAAGGATATGGTCGTTTTTAAGAATAAATTATTGATAAATAACTTTACAGGCGTGATATGAATACAATAGAGTGGCACTATGAGATATAATTTATAATATAAAAAATATATAATTTCTTAATAAAATAAATTAATTAAATTTCTAAGAATTTTTTTGTTAACTGTAACGCCGGCGTGTCCGCGGTCCTGCAGGGATTACAGATTATAATACCATTTGTTATTGAAATCTTTCTTAATTACATTTTTCAAACACAAACAACTTTTGTACAAAGTTTTAAATCATTAGGACGAACAAAGCGCGAATGCATAGAAAACAGGCACAAATGTTCCAAGTTTATGAAATTATTCATGATGCTAACCATTAGATATGATTATCTAACTGGAGCTTATAAGCTACACGTAGTTATTATAATAGAACTTAATACTCATCATAGTAACAATAGTCCCACCCATCAGAGTAACTCCCTTGCTGTGACTATTACAAAACGAAACATTAATTCTGAAACGGAACAATCGTAGCGGTCCGGCAACTGTTTAACATGTTAGATCGCCTTCATACATAAATATACTACCGCCGTCGCAAAGATCTTATCTGTCATATACCTACCTACATTTTAAGTAAACAATGAGCAATAAATTAAGAAATTGACCAAATAAAAATAAGGACTTAATAATTCTTAAGAAAACTAAAAAACTAAACTTTGAAGATCAAAACGTCTTCAAAGTAGATAATGATCAACAAAAAATCCATCTCAAGTTGGGATCGCTTTCTTTTATTTGTTAAAATTTTCAAGTTATCATCTTACTAAAGGTAAACGTCAGCTATTATAGAACGTTAGTCACGTGTGGACATAACGTTAGACCATACACAACATGTCGTAATAAGATAAAGTATCTCACGGCGCGGCGTGCCCTGCTAGAACAAAGGTCTTCCGAGTCCCCGACATCCCGAACAATACCTTTGTATTCGCTGTTATTCTCCTTCCTCCTTTCCACTCTTTACGCTATACACAAGAGTTCTATATCAAAATCCTGTGGTTAAACTCTATACCTACTTCAATGCAGTCCATGTACGGAAATCGATAAGTTTGCCCAAGTCGTTAATTTAACAGCTATTTACGTTCAGTTACAACTACATACTACTATTTCATAAAGTCCTTTAAAAAACACTTAAGCAGTACTTTTGTACTTGCTAACTTATTATAATTTATGATCAATAATATAGATTGATGTCCCTAGTTACAAATTTACCATTTGCACAAATAAAAAATTTAATAAGAGATCCATCCAATTTTTTTATGTTGGTATCACATAATTTTTTTATTATTTAGTTATCCTAAGTTTTCAATTAATCAGTTAAAAGATAGTCAATAAATTAAAAGACGATTAAAAACTATGTAAAAATATCAGATTAATATTATAAATGCAAATGTTTGTATGTGTATACTCCTTCAACGGATAGACGGATGTGGATGAAATTTATTACACAGATATGAGATGAACTATTATACTACTGATATATACTATCTAAAGTAACACCTGAGAGACGCGAAGATTAGTTAGCCGTGTAGATTAGAGCCCTAGTTACCTAGTATTAAATATTTTTTTAAATATATTTTTTTAAATCTTCGGATAATCATAAGTATACTTGAATCTTCATATAAACAGTAATAATTACTTACAATTTCACCTCGCTATCCATCCAAATTAACTACGTACCTGAAATAAAATAAAAAATTGTAACAAAAAGCATAAAATATAATCGATTATAAATTTATAAACCACCACGAGACATTTAACCGAGAATGGCTTATCTTGAATGAGGCTTTCTACAATATCAAGCCTACCTTTGTGCTAATGGCCTACATGTGAAAGGTGAATGCCTCCATACTTCAGTAGACGGCGATGGGTGGCGCAATGAACATTACTTAATTCATAGCATGAAAACTTTGTATGGTTGAGATATTATTTTGGAAATAATTACCAGCCTTTTTATTTATATAATGAAACATCTCTTGAGATTGGCTATACGGATTTTGATAGAACTTTTTTCGTATTTTCTTGACATTTTGTATTAAAGCTAATATAATTCTCCCCATATAAAACAAAGGTGATAATTTGTTTATAAATTAATTTTTATTGTAAAAGTCAATTTCAAGAAAATATACCTATCTACGTTTAAATATAAATTTAATTTAAAAGAAATTAATTTATTTTCATTCAGAAACTTCAAAATCACTTAAAAAGCATTTTTTCTATAATAAAGGCTTAGACACCTTACTTAAATATTATAAGGGACCCCATATTTATTTAAAAATAGATATTGCGTTGATTACAAAAAAAGTAACTTATAACCAAATTTAGTTTATACCTACCTCCTACAGCTCCGAAATCGGTCAATAAGCTCATGTAAAAAATTGGCAAAAATAATATTTTTCTTAATAAAGTTTCTATAAAAGATTTTTAAACAAATACAGTAGTTAAAATGAAATCATAATCTTTTAAATAACACTATTTTTTCGGATTTTATCGCGGTTTTATTTTACATGTTTGTTCCCGAGGATTCAAATGTATTACACCAAACTCTCTGCAATCTCCGAAGAGAATCCGAAAAGATCGTTTCATTTAAAATATTAAAGTATCATGCAATCATTATCCATAACATCATGGACAGTTCTAATACATTAGACACAATGTAATATGTTTCGTCGTCAGCACAATGAAAACCGCTGACACCTATTAAGTTAACAATTACGCTATGCGTAAAGCATGCCAATAATAATTATTATTATGACGATTATTATTTATTATACATTATAAGACGTAGAATAAGTATGTGAGGCAAAGAAGTTGTTCTGTATAAAAACTTTTTAACAAAAAATAAGAACCGACTTCCAGGCACTAAAATGTAAAAAATAACTAAACGGAGGTTTTCATTTAGAATAGATAATTTTCGAAGTCGTTGCCAGCCGATGCAAAGCAAATCTAATATATTTCGATACGTAAAATACAATATGTATTTTACCTGTTAGATCTTAAAATATTGTAGGCTGGCGCCGACTTCGAAAATATCTGATTAGGTATCTATTCTAAATGAAAACCTCCGTTTAGTTATTTTTACCTTTAGTGCCTGGAAGTCGGTTTTTTTTTTTAAGTTTTTATTTTTATGTTTTTAGTGTAGACGTAAAAAGCAGGTAATTTGTAAGAAGAAAGTTTTCTTTGAATTTTGTTTTTTTTAAATATTCGATTAAACAATTATTTACAAAAAAAATATTGTAGATTTTTTAAAAAACCGCTCGACCGATTTCGATAAAATTTATATGGGACCACCTGGGAAGTATATCCTTTGAAACAAAAAAATCCAAATCGGTTCAGACGTCTTCGAGTAATCGATGAATATACATAAAAAAAAGATTCCGACGAATTGAGAACCTCCTCCTTTTTGGAATTAGAAGTCGGTTCAAAAATACAAGACATGTTATTCTTTTTAATGATATAATAAAACACTGAAAGTCGTAGGTTCAAGTATCGTATGGCACATTTTTTGTAAATGATCAATGTACGAGTACATTTATATTGAGAAAATATCCGTAAATTTTATCAATTAAAGTCCCTCACCGCCTACTTTGTATTTATTCTGGCTATTCTTAAAAACTATTATACGAATTTTCATACGGCTTTCACCAGTACAAAGAGGGACTATTATCTAGAAAGATTAAGATGGTATATAATATTGGTATGATATTTGTGAGCTAAGCCAAAAGAAAGCTCTTTCAGGGACGCACCCCGCGAGGTGAAGATAAGTACTATTAGAGTATTGTATAATCTGATGCAAAGACTCAGTATAACACTGTAATATAATATAAATAATACTTCAAATTCTCGTAAGATACTCTACTCGAATCTTCTTAAATGGTCAGCGCTAAAGATTTCAATGACAGTAAGTGTTGTGCGGAAGGGGAGCATCTGGCACCTGAGACCAAACGAGGCTCCGCCTAATGGCCTGTCGCGCGTCCATCCGCGCCGGTGATTGATCGACACGCCTCGCGACATGTGTACATAGCCTACATCGTTTATATCTCCGCAATAAATCACGCGTTTGAGCTCGATAAAAGCAATATGCAATATCGGAAGGACCCACTTCATTACACCGAAACAAATGCCATTGTTCAGATTAAAAAAAAATCAACTGTGATTTTATCGATAAAGCACTATGTAAATGAATTGAAACAGCCACTAAACTATTAATAAAGAACCTGTGATCTATATATTGTTTTGTAACTAATTGTAACTAATAGTATAAATATTTATAATCTTCTTCTATTTCAGATTAATAAGTAGTGACGCTACGATACGTGCATTTGCCAATACGGTAGCAAGGTACTGATATTTATAAAAAAGGAATCGCCAATCCAAAACTACGTACTATAATGAGTTTCATAGAACTACAAGTCCGAAAACACTAATCAAGCCCGGAGGCGATTTCGTAAGCCTTTTTGTTTCTGAGACGTTCTTGAAAATATTCTTACGTACACATTAGTATGTATATAATAGAAAGCTCTATTGTAAAAAAAATGTAATCTGTATTGTAATTCTTATAATAATCACGTACATATATATGAACTGAACAAAATAATTTTTCCACGAAGTGCAAGATTTAGATCTATACAGATAAATAAAATTGAAGTGTCTGTTTGTAATGTCAAAATAACAGTTATTTAACCCCCGACGCAAAAAGAGGGGTGTTATAAGTTTCACGTCGATGTCTGTCTGTGGCATCGTAGCTCTCAAATGGATGGACTGATTTCGATGCGGTTTTTTTCATTTGAAAGCCAGTTTCCTTACGGTGGTTCTTAGTTATGTTTGGTTAATATCGGTCCAGCAGTGTAAGAGTATCAGCTCT